AAAACACAGAAGGACAAGTGCGAGAGTTTGCACTTGCACTGTGAGCGAGCGAGAGCTACGTTAAAGGTGGTGGGCTGAGAGATGAGAGGCCGAGAGAAAGACAAAAAGAGACAGGACAAAGCAGCAGCAGCGTTTCATGGAGAGCTGGAAACAGAGGGCGGGCGGACAGGCGGGTGGGCGAGCGAGCGAGCCAGAGGGGAACGAAGAGAGTGAGGTGTGGGCGGGGCTTGCGAGCAGTCATAGCCAGTTAGAGGCTGGCGTGGTGCTCTGCAGGGTGAATCTTACCCTGGCAACACAATAGAGCGAGAGAGCGAGAGGGAAAGTGGGAGAGAGGGAGACAGCGGACAGGTGAACAGATGGCTGACTGAGAGACAAGCTGATCAGTGCACAACAGAGGGGTGTGTGTGAGTGTGAGCGAAAGAGAGAATGTGAATGTAATGCAATGTAACACAAAATGTTCAGTCTGAGAGAGAGTGGGAAAACAAACAAAGAAAGTGAGAGAGAGTGAGAGAGGGGGAAAGATGCCCATGTTTACACTGTAATGTTCACAAAATATCAGTGGAGTTTACATGAGAGAAAGACAGAGAGGCAAGCCTGTGATGTCCAAAAAATATCAAGTGTGTGTGAAAGCAAGTAGAGACAGTGTGAGAAGGAAGCCTACTGTACGTCTGTTTGCATCCATATGTCAGTGTGTCCATTAGGATTGTTGCTTTTTATATGAATTTGAAAGTGTCAGATGGAGAGGAAACAAAGGAATATTTGACCAGTGGTGATCCGTTCAGATTTTTGATTTATGGGTCGGGCGTTTTGTACTTCAGTGGAACTGAAATGCAGTGTCATTCTGACCTTATTCCATGGCCTGCTTCTTTGGCAGAAAATAGAGTAAGCTAGCAATCTCAGTGGATAATTACGGCCTCAAATTAGGAAAAGCAATAAGCAGAAGCATTTAGACTTCAGTACTACGTGCTGAAGAAGTTACAGATGAAGGTAAGTTTGTATGCCAACTAACTGGTGAATCTATTGCCACGATGGCATAAAGACAATGAAAATGAATGAACACTGTCCTTATTGGAAGCATTAGTGGAAGCATTGTAAGAAATGTTTTTATTGTCCTTTGGGGGAAATGATGTTTGTGTCAGAGTTAATAACACATGGCGCCTTAATAGCATATGCATGATAGCTGCATCTTTATGACAAATAATGCCAGATTTAATCAAGTACAGAAATTCAAATGAATCACACTTAAAATGGGACGATTTTAAGAAGATCGAGGGCATTTAGGGAATTTTGTCCAAACCTCAAAGACAGTTGCATGTTTGGTCTTATTGTCATTATTTTTGTTCTTATTATTAAAAAAAAAAGAAAAGTATATGATCACCAAATCCATTTGTATTTTGGCCCTGTTCATCATATCAACTCTAATGAGGACTGATATTTGATGACGTTTTGGTCGCAGATCTATGAAAGTAGGATCAAGGTTTAATTGAACTAAAGCTTAAATTGAAGGAGATTAATTTTTTGGTTGGTGTAGCCATCTACCTTTAAATTAGGCTTAGGAAATGCAAAACTGGAACTTTGTCTCTCCTCACAAGTATCCAAGTACAAATGTGTGTCACTACATGTGAACAGTGCACCAACATGGCTCCAGTGTCATCACAGTTTTGTTTGCAGGCTCTTTATCTCTTTGTGTTCTGACAGTCAGGGCAGGAGGTCCACGCTTCTATCACGTCCTCCACACAGCCCTCTGTCACATGCCGTCATTGTCAAGTTGAAAGTTGTTCTATTTTTATTTATTTTATGTAGTTCTTTTATTCTCTCAATTTTTAGGTCAGTGCGCACACACATCTGCCTCAGCAGAGTGTGTTTTCTATGAACTGTGCGCAACAAAGCGCATGGTGGCTGCTCCTGTGTGTGAAATTTACATTAAGCTGCAGATCAGAGCACTTACTTGTTCTGGTGAGAGTTAACAGCTGAATCAGGAGACTGTCTCCATGTTGGAACAAATCTTTCTAATAACCCGTTTCTGTGGGTAGATAAAAAAGCAGCTTTGACACTGCGATAATAATAATGGCTTTGGTTTTTAATGAGATTCATATCAAAGAGCAGTATTGTTATTAACACTGAAAGTCTTTTTACCCTTACATCTAAATGGCATCATTACCCTCTTGCCCTCACCTGTTTTTAGGATTTCAGGCTAATACATCAAAAATGAAAAGAATCTCTGTCTCTTCCTCCTCGGGGTTTAGTCTGGAGCTCTCGATACAACGACTTCCCGCCAGCTTCACTTTAGAGGCTGAATTGCATGCAGTTGAATCATTCTCACTTAACAATGATTGTGTGCTGTGCACTCATGTAACACATGGTTAGGTTTTAATCAGACCGCCACTAGACTATAGTCGCACCTGACACGGCAAGTGCTTGTTAATTAAAGAAAGTAAAGGGTGCATGAGATATTGAATATAATATCTGTTGGGTGATACATGTAACAGTGCCCTGCATTATATGTTGTGTGTAATTGAATGTCAAAAGATGCCAGTGGTTTTATTTGTTTTACATACTGAACTACAAATTAGGTAGACTACATGTTTTTGTTCAACCCCCAAATTACACTTACATATGAAAAAGGACTGTTTCACAATACTGTGGAAAAACTATGCCCAACCCTATGATTCAGTAGCTTGTAGAGCCATTCCTAGCAGCAGTAACTTGAAGTAATCACTTTCCGTGTGACTATGATTCTCTCACATCGTTGTGGAGGAATTCTGGCCCACTCTTTTTTCCAGTGTTCCTTGGGTTCATTCAGGTACGAAGGCATTTGTTTATTCACACCTTTCAATGAGGTTCCATCACAGCATTTCAGTGAGCTTGAGGTCTGGTTTTACTGCACCATCGAGACACCAGATTTGCTGGTGTACTTGGAATCATTGTTCTGTTGCATGACCCAGTTCTAGCTGTTTAATCATAGTCGACTCAATCACTGAAAAATGCCCTGGTCCCATATCTGCAGAACAAGCCAGAATCATCACTGTTAGTATTTGCTCTGTGTTCATATGCTGTGTTTGGTTTTCTACAAATGTGGTGCAATTTGGCCAAACATCTCCACACCTAAGTTTTCTCCCAGCAGCCCTTCAAAACCAACCATAATCATTCAGTGTCTTTGTAATTGTAAAGTCGTGACTTTGGCCTGTAGACTCTGAGATGTAGCTCTTGTTGTTCTCTGTGCTTTGCACGGTCTCACTTTGGGGGGAATTCGCTGGGATGCTCAAATCTGTATGCCTGCTTTTATAGAGGTGCTCACACTTGCTGATGATCATCTAATCAAGCACATATGATTAGCAGCACCTTAATCTCATAATACCAATGGAAGCAATAAGAGCTTACTTAGTTTTTCACTTTTTTCACATGACTGCACATTTCAGTTAATACTAGAAACTAGATTTACGAGCTTTTAAAGAAATTCTTTTCCTGTGATTGCTTGTTCATTAAACAGCCACTTTCCTATGACTTAATGATGCTTCTTTTTTGTAAGACACTGAAGGTCATTTGATAATTCTTGAAAACAGTTGATTTCTACAGAGTGCTGCTTAAAATATAGTGCTTCGCAGACAGATGCCCCCTCCCCTCCTTTTTCTTTTTCTTTTTTTTTATTCAATAAAAAAATGTTTTGGATGGAATGACTTGCTGGAGTGAGAACTAGAGTCTTTTTTCTTCTTTTCTTTTTTTTGGCCATGGTTATAGTCTATTTTTCCTTTGGGATAGATTTCAAGGCGAGGGATTTCTTTCTTTTCGCACCACTCAAGGCTAAAGCTTGTATTTGGACCACAGTAGGATCTCCAGCTCCAGTTTAAGATCCATTTTGCTACGAGGATCTCTCTGCTTGGCTCTGTGGTCAAGGGCCCACCAGGCAAAGCTACTTAACAGCAAATCTTGTTTAGCACAATCCTCTCAAAATAAGAGCCTCTTTATCTCCCTCTCTCGCCCGTCGGTCTCCCTCTTCCATTTCTCGCCCTTTCCAAAGTGTGCGAACACTGACGCAACCTGTCTGCCGTTAGCTGAAGTGCTAATACCAGCACATGCTTCCTAGCTCACCCTTTACCCTTTTGCTTTACTTTACCACATTCCTCAGTGCAAAGCTTCACACCAATTACTAACACTGTTGATTAGCCAACGTGTGCACAAGTGTGATGCCTCGCTGTATCTTCTGACATGCACATAGTTTATTGGCCTTGTTCTCTCAGACCACATCCTCCGATTTGAAAGCTTTCTGCGGTTGGAATAAGACTCAGTAGTTTTTCAGCCCTTTAAACCATAACTTCCTGAGTGCACCTGCTGGATAAGCAAGTACAGTTTCTTCCTTAATAACTTGCTTTCAGGTGGGTGGCAGATGTTACGAACTTTGACCTCACAAATCGACAGAGGATTTTCAAAGGTTGAAGTTGAGAATGTGTGTTCTGTAAGACAGCTTTTCTGCTCACAGAAGGTGCCGCAAGGGAAAAAAAGACAAACTCTTTTTATGTCATCATCAGGGTCAAATTGTTCAATCTGACCTTAGCTGGCTCATGTTTATACAATGAATAGCGTAGGAGTCAGCACATTTTATGCAATCAAGATGTTCATTTGTGTTTGAGAAATGAAAATCTTTCACTGTGTGCTAATTCCAATATGTGCATGGAAAAATGAAATGTAAATGTGCTTCCTTCTCCTCCTCTACCCCTCTTTAACCGCTTCAGACGTTGCGAAAGAAAGGCTTTAACGGTTGCAACAGCCCTGAGCCCGACGGCGACGACTCCATCGACCAAAGCCCGCTAAATGACCGCAAGACCGAGGACCTGGACAGCCTCTTCAAGCGCTACGGCGTGAGTACAATCACATTTTTGTCACCTTATCTAACCTACCCTTTTCTTCTTCTCCCTTTTTTCTCTACTTTCCTCTCTCTCTCTTTCTCTCTCTCTCTTTCTCTCTCCCTGTCTGCCTTCTCTTCTTTTGTTTGGGGATCGAAGGCTCTGAACAAGAAAGAGCACCGGGACTCTGAGAGCCCAGACCCCGAGGAGCCCTTCTCCCTCACCCCCCGCACTGAAGAGAAATACAAAAAAATTGACGAGGAGTTTGATAAAATGATGCAGAACTATAGGCTGTCAGTGAGTACCTCCCACCACTCTGCGTAACCCTGCCCCCTCTTCATGTTGGTACCTTGCTGCTGCCGCTGACCGGACAACCGGAGATTTCCGGCTGCTGATGGTGGCCTGACTACTCACAGAGCACTCGCCTTCACCATTCCCCACTCCTTTACCTTCTCTACTTCACCGCTTACCAATAGCACCTATCCCCATCCCCCAAATCACTACCCACAACCACCCCACCCCACTGATGGTGTGTGCTTCAGCAAGAAATAAGAGCAGCCAAGTTCATAAGGGAAGCCTCTTAAAAGTAAAATTTTAACTAATGTTCACCTTCATCATTAATTAATGGAATGGTATTATTTTTTTGTAAGAAAGCCTAAAGTTGTGTTTCCAATGTTGTTTGGTCTTTTCAACAACCAACACGAATATAATAACTTTAAAGTAACATAGCTCAGATAGACATAATTTATGGGGTACATGGAGAGTCATTTTCTGCAGTTAAATTTCCTAGGACTCATAAAGAAGACAAATAATATTCTTTTTTTGCTGTTTTGTTTTGTTTTTTGCAGTGCTGCGCATGTGTAAGACAGAAAGTGAACCTTAAAAAAGCAGCATGACACCAAATAGGGCATGCTAACTGTGATTATTCATCTGAAGTTACAGTCATCACAGTGAAGCACATTCTCAGGAGTATTATGGCTTTTAATACAATGTTTCTGATGCCTCTGCAAGTTCGCAAACGTACAAGAATAAACAACAGAGGGAGAGGAGCGATAACTAGGTCCCTGGTTCTCACAAAAGTTGGCATAGCAACTAATATTGCAAGGGGAAATCATGTTTTATGGTAATAATCAACACGTTTGGAGCATGCCTTCGAGCAGTCAGATTTTTTTTTTTTTGACTGAATGCACCAATTGTGTAATACTTAGCAACATTAAAGAAAGAGCGTTGCAATTTCAGATAGTCTGTATCCACCAGGGCTGTGTCTGTTTCTCAGATAACACATAGAAAGCCAGAGTGCAGTTGATAACCGGCTGTTATTAGCAGCATTACTGAGGTCACTTTAGTCCCAGTGTAGTCCTGTTCCTCCGATGGGCTCCTGACATTATCCAGGTTCTGCCTCCTGACTGGCGCTCTGCCAATCCCCTTTTACCGCTCTACTTCTTTGCCAATTTCTCTGTGATTCATTTTTTCCTCTCTGCTCAATAATGCCATTAATGTCACTTTAATGACTAGCACTTAATTTACAGCTCCTCTTCCTGTCTGCCGGCCCCCTGATTGGTCGCTTGGGATGGGACACAGTCACTTTGAGGTTCTGCAGAATAGTTAGGCAGCAGTTGTTTACTACAGTCACACCTTTGGTGTTACACCTTTATGGAGGGTGGAGGTGTTTTTCTTTTTTCTTATTGTTGTTCTTTACTGTATTAGGCTTGTTTTGTGGTATGCATGACTAGTCTCATAATCATGCTGTAATTGTAATTGTAATTGTTCATATGTTTATGAAAATAGGACTGTGAAAAGCAATATAATTATGAACAATGTATAATGTATGCATTGTCAGCTACATATCTATTTTACAGCTAGAGCGATGGAAAGACTATGCCTTCGCCTGGTTTTCAGTTTAAAGGCTTGAAACACACTATTTGTTAAATTAAAAGCAGTTTTATGGACAAAACTAGTATAAAAAACACACTGGAGGTTTGGAGGGAAGAAAAGGCTTTCTTCAAAATGACATCAAGTGCTAATGTTAATATTAATTTACTAAAATCTCACATACATCAGAGCATAATGGAGAAAATGAGCTGCCTCTCAGATTAATCAGCTCAGTGAATCTCTCCCCTCCTGATATCCACCCTGCCTCCATCAGCCTCTCTGTGCTGTGTGAGACAAATGGCTCTGAAAAGACTTTCTCAAAAGAGAAAACCACAGAAGAAGAAGAAGCGGATTCAATCTACTGCACTTAGAGAGCTACAGCTCTTGGCTCATGCCATTTGTATGCTAGCGTAACGCTGCTAGCAAATGACTCTAGCGACAAGCTGCCCTGACATCACTCTGCCCCTCGGTGTCCCAGTCAGCCTGCCTACCTGTCTGGTTTTCCAGCACACCTTTCACGGTCAACCAGTAATCAGAAACATGCAGCACCACCTGCCACTCCTCCCCTCAGCATCATAATCCCCAGCATGACAGATAGGGGCCGGGATATACAAGCTTAATCCCACTTGTACTCAAATACCTCCCAAGGTAGGAAGAGAGTGGTGAGGGAGAACGGGCAGGACACTTGGCTAAACGAGCCCCCAGCTAACGTATCTTTTCCTGTTAAACTGGCACTGTAGTAGGCAAGAGAAAAGAGCTTTGGGTTTTTGTTTTTTTTCTCCTAACCGGAGGGCCCCTGGTTTGATCCTTTTCTGGCTCTGAGATTCTGGGCCAGGAAATTGAATAAGAAATAGATTTCTGCCTTTTAACAACCACCTCCATGGTGCCTTTCAGCAAGAAGCTGAATGTTTTGTCTCCTGTATAAGCTTGGTATGAATGTCAAGTGAAACATGGTGTTATTGAAACTGCTGCACACTTAATCACATCTAATTTAGTTTTGAGATTAGTTTAGCTTTGAATTTCATGCCATGAAAGCATGAGGACTCTCAGCATCCCTATTAATAGTTTCTGTTAAGAGCTGCAAATAAAACAATTTTCAGTGAGAATCAGATGTTTTGGAGAAGGTGAGCCGTGAATCATTCAGCCTCTTTTTATTTATTTAGGATCAAATATCGGTGAAGTTGGAAAGAAATTAGAGTGAGGGGGGGCATAGAACTAAACAACTAAAGCTAATTTACTGGTCAACTGCTGGGACATCTAAAGGTCCGTCAAACACTTTTCCAATGTTGCATCTGTGTTCAGATCTGCAGCCTCTTACAAATACGATGCGACAATCCTACAGTTGAAAAAGGGGAAAAAAGAGAAAACTTTCAAAGGCTTTCAGGACAAGAGGGAGGAAAAGGGAAACTAGGCCATGAGTTTAATTCATTCTGATTTACCCTTGCATCCAGGAAACACACCCTTGTTGAGAGAGCTCCTCCAAGGGAAAATAGGTTAGCCTTCTCTCCCCTCTTTTTGTTCTCTTCACACAGAAGAGGCCTTAAGCTTCCTCACATGAGCCTCTGGAAAAGCTCCTAGTCAATTATTTACCTAACAGGTTCTTGTTATTTTTTTCTATGGTTCCCATCCTCTGTGCTAAATCCACAGGATGAGGAGCAGTACCCAGTTAACCCTCCTCTCTGCAATTAGGAGCAGCAGTGTTAAATGGAGTCAGAGTGGGCAGATGTAAATTCTCTTGTAATTTGCCAAAGACATGGATTAATTCTCAGTGTAGCACAGTGGAGAGCAGGGTCAAGACAAATTTAAAATTCATATTTACAGAATAAATGAAGAGGTTTTGGAGTTATGTCACCAATCTCCTAGCAACCAGAGGCTGATACAGATATGAAGGTCTTGTGGAATGGTGGCGAGCAGCAAACAGTCGATGGCTAAATGTATTACAAAGTACCAATAAAGAGACAGACAGCTGAAGAGGATTGTTTTTTAAGGTATGCATAGTACTCTTGAGTCATTTCTCATTTTTCATATTCAGTCAGGATAATAGGAAGTTGGTACAGAAACATGCAATTACAAGCTTGGAAGGCAATATCTGGTATAACTACCAAACTCTCTTACACAAGCTTTCTTAGAACTTCTTTAAGTAGTCGTCAGGAATGGTTCTCCAGGTTTCTTGAAGGACATTCAAAGCTCTTCTTTGAATGTTTTCTGCCTTTTGATTTCTGTTAGGGTGATCCCACACTGCTTCAGCAGTGTTTAGGTGTTTGGAGGCCAATCCTTGACTTATAGTGTTCTAGTGTACATTGTTCTATTCAGCTAGACGTTTACTGTAGATATATTCTACTGAAAAATAGTGATTTTACCAATCAGATGCTTTCTAGATTGTATTGCATGGTGGGTCATATTTTTTTGTGTTTCTTTAGTTGAAATTAAATCCAGCCCCAAACCATGATAGTGTCCACCATGTTTTACAGATGGCCGTACATGTAACTAACATACATTTGAAGCAAAGATTTTAAGTTTTGATTCATAAAAGCTGTGGCCACTGATTTTTCAGTCCAGTCCTCGTCTTATTTGCTATACCTCAGCTTTTTATCCCTCTTTTATCCTTTTTGCCCTACATGCAAAATTTTTGGTGAATCACCTTGTTTGTGAAAAAATGCTGTTTTATGCCTGCCAAATATATTATTTTTGAGAATCTTCTGTAGTTCAACTGTTAAATTTGGGAACAAATTATGTTTTTGCAAAAGACTGCTGATAGATGGTTGATTGATACAACACTGGTTCATACCTTGGCTTAACCTTGTGTTTGAATGATTCATAGGTCAGTTTAAAGTGGCTTAAACAATATTTATAATTATTATATTATTATTAAAAATTGACTCTGCTTCTAACGTCTAATTAGATTTTTTCAAATCCTATTTTTCATAATTCCAAATCACCACAAATATACCATTAAGGTCACATTGTCTTCAGTGATATTTTCTGTCCTGAGTGCTATTATTTATTGTCAATTTATTTAAAACCACAGTTCCATTATTCCAACTTTAAATCTGTAAATACAGACTGCAGTCCATCTTTCTCTCTCTCTCTAACCGTAGTTTAACTGTAGCTTAGTAAGTTTTAGACTTGATAAATGGGAAAGTAGAGCGTTTCAGGCTCAGGTAAAGGTGACAGTTTGATTGCTTTGTATTCTGTAAAAATGGCTGTCAGCAAAGACTCCAGCTCTGTCCTCTGTTTGTAGTTGTTCTCCCAGTAAGAAAAAATATATAATGAAATCTATTACTGAAAAGAAAAAAAAACATTCCCAAGCACTGTAGGGATAAACTCTTTCTGGATCCTTATGCTCTGCGTTCATACACCTCTGGCCCACTTTGGATTAACCCCACCTCTGTCCACCCTTTCCCATTTATCCATGCCCTTCCTTTACCTTCTGCTTGGCCTGTGTGCAGTGGTGCAATGCTGTTAGCCGTTCTCTTCACTCTCCCTGTTAGCCACTTACAGCTCTCTCTGTACAGCCTGCTTTGCAAACTTCCTCTTTGTAGGCTGAAGAGTGAATTTTACATTTCATGTATTTGGAAGATTTAATAAAGATTAGTCATTTTTCAAGGCTAACATAGCGAATAAATTGAAAGGTTTTTTGTGGAACTATAATTTGTTGTTTGTTTTATGAAAAAAGGGCCAGTTTTTACTCTGTTTAGACTTTGTGTGACGAAAAAAAAACCTAATTATAAAATAATGAATAAAGATGATTATTTTTGTTGTTGAGGTTTATATAAAAAGACCACTTTATTAGTTGGGAACAAGTTGTTTAGTTGTTTGAGGAAAACCTATGATCAAGTAACAATTTTTGAGATTTGACTGAATAAACTAGCACTTGGTTTGGTTTCAGTCCCATAACTCCCTTATTTTCGTGTGATCTCTAATGCAGTGCAGAGGGAAAAGAGGTAGAGATCAAGGGCAGGAAGGTGCCCTCGTCCTCCTTGATATTAAACTGGGTCCCAGGCAGTTTGAGTACAGTACAGTGCAGCGCTGGCCCACATTCTATATATAGAAGTCCTTATTTCAGATTGAGTTGGAACAGGGTGAAATGGGTCGGACTGCTGGACAACCCGAGGTCCTTGCCCCTGATTTTCCTTTTTTTTTTCTCTCTTTTTTTGCACTCGGGGACGTCTGGTCATCCACTTCATCAACTCAGGTGACGAGACTGATCATTTCTTTTTAAAAAAAAAAAAAAAAAGTGCAGTTGATACGTTTTTGAACAGAAAGGTGGACTGTCTTCAGGATTTTTGAGAACAAGAGTAATATTGTAAAGCCCATTTTGGTAGGCAAGCTCCTGCTGAATATTTCCTTAAATCCCCAGTGATGAGCACATGTCAGTTGGGGTGGTGGGATGCTGCTGGAATGTGACAAGCACGCTATGAAATGTCACCAATAACCCGATGCAATAACCTGCTGCTGCTGCGACAAGTTTTAACCTGGCATGAAAAGTGAAAGGCGAGACAGCTTTTTGGCCTTTTCACCAAGTCACCTTGCATGACAACTGAGTGAGTGAGTGTGCGCGTGTCTGCGTTTGGGTGCGTCTGTGTGTGTTTGAGATTTGATGTGTGTGTTTTTGGTTGTTTTGAAGAGTTTTATTTCCAAAACAAAATTGTGTTCTTTTAAAGCACAGTAGAAACAGCAAACATCAGACATGTCTGATACTTTTGAATTGATTTCCTGCCTCAAGAGTGAAGCTTGACAAACAAGCAAAGAATCAAAAAATCTTCACCGTGACAGAATACCAATGCAGTGTAGGTAGATTTCAGTTATTGAGGATCATTTTTAATATCTTACGGATATGATTTAAAAGTTATTACTAACTGCAAAGTTTTAGATCTGAAACATATGATATGATATTCAGAATTCATGGACTCCTGTTTATTGTTCATTACTTTAGCCATTAAGGCTAATGATGATAAATGATTTCTTTGAAAAACAAAGATCTACTTAAGAAGTTATTTTTGTGTCAGCATTTGAGCTTTTTGAATCTGATTTTCTTTAAACAGGTGAAAATATCTATCAGTGTAGGAAACAAATATTCCCAATGCTAATCAGTTTTTTGCAAATTTTTTTGTATACTATTTTTATTCTTGTGCACTGACCTGTTTTGGAATACAAAGCTCTAGTTTTGGGAAGAGTGATTTTTTCCCCCCCTCTGTATTTATTTATTTATTTATTAACTGTTTTTTAACTTTAAAAAGTGGAGACATCAGTCATTATGGAAGGATTAAAAGTTCCTTCTTCGTATGTATATTGGATGTACAATAAAATTTACAATACAAACATTTTTCTTTAATTAAAATCAAATTTTGCAACAGCACTGAAAGCTGCCCAGCAGAGCAAAAGGAGACAGTCTTGAAGAGGAGCCAAATTCAAATCAGATAAAGTGTTTGGGGTAAAAAAAAAAATGCTACTTTTCAAGTAATTCTGAACTACTGAAATAATTCACTACTGTATTATTTCACAACAAATTGCCCTTTAAATGAAAAAGATATTTATCAAGGTGAAATAAGCTTGAAAGAATAGCTACAAATTCTTGAAACAATAATTAGCGTGCAATACAGAAGATGTTCCACTTGCGTTTCTTTTTATGTTGTTGCTTTAAAGTAGGACTCTCCTTTATCGTGTAACTTTTTAAAGTTTCGTTTTGGGAAGACTCTTCTCATTGTGATCGGTTTTATTGCTGCAGCTGTGTGTGTGTGTGTGTGTGTGTGTGTGTGTGTGTGTGTGTGTGACCTGCAGGCTTGTTTGCACTGCTGCTGATCACTAACTGATCACCTGTTCATTATTTTTTTTATAATATATAATTATATGTGAGGGTGGATAAACATGGCCACACTCTAATCTTTGCCCTCTTCCTGTCATTCCACCAGTCTACAGTCCCACAGCCCACCTTCTCCATGCCAGTCACCGTGCCAGTATCCAACCAGAACGCAGCGGCGGCCCTTCAGTTCAGTAACAACCCTTCCGGCGCCCTGGTCACCACCACCTCCTTTGTCACCTCCACCCTCACAGATCCCCGGCTCCTTTCCCCACAGCAACCCGCTCTGCAGAGAAACACCGTGTCGCCAGGGTTACCACAGCGGCCAGCCAGTGCAGGTGAGAAACAGCATGAACAAAATAAAATGCTCTGTTTTCTGTGTGGATTGATAATGTGAACTTATAATAATCATCTGAAACATCTTCTCATACATAAACTTCCAATTTTAATACCAGCAGCTGATTGATCGATCAACAGTGTAGGTTTTCAATTTGCAGTTCTAAACATTGATTGGGTTTTGTCAGTGAAGGATCCTCTGATGCTAGGCAACTGATGAATTTTACTTTTTTTGAAAACATCGACAGTTTTGAGATAGACTGAAGAACAAAGAAGACAAACTGACAAAATCTCAAAACTTCTTCAAAAGATAACTAAAGAAAAAAAGCCATTAGACTGCCACCCACACTGCTTGATTGACAAGTATTGGAGAAAACATGGAGACAATATTTAAAAAGAAAATGAACAGACTAGAAATTTCTGGCTACATTAAGTCTTTATAATATGATTTTATATATATATTTATTTTTTACATTTTAAAAAAAAAACTTTTAAAATCTCATATTTTGTTGTTTTCAGCTGCACCCACTAAAAACCTTTTCTTTTAGTGGCTGCAGCTTGCCACTGTTTCTCAAATGTGTGCATACACTAATCTAAATAATACCAGAAATACATCATTCTTAAAATTCTGCAATTCTTTGTTCAGTAAAATGGCCGATAACCATTTGACATTCAGTGTTCCAGCTTTTAATGCAGTTCAGTCGTAACCTTGTGTAACTTTAGAGTTCTGTAAAACCTGACAAGTGTAGTCATGTTCACTGTGAAAGCTCACACAAAGAGATTATCATATTTAATGACAGACAAAAATAAAATAAATGTTTTTTGAGGGGAAAACTGCAACAAAAGTAACAGTAACTGGAAAACCTTTTGACCACTGCAGCTGCCCCTGTGTCATAGAGTCCAAGTCAGATTGAACCTCTTAGAAAGACTCCGTGCAACCACGGTGTCATTATACATCTTCTTCTTCTTATCGGTGTGGTGCCAGTGCAGTTTCACAACCAGTTTTGCATTGCTGTCTTTGGAAATCAGCCCACATTTTGTCAGGTTTGATAACCGGTCATTATGCATTGTTACTCGAAGAATTTGAGGTGATTTCCATGGGTGTAAAATATGGCATACAGATTCTGTAGGCTGAATCTGCCAGACGTTGATGATTTCCCTTCTCTGCCGATGTTGATGATGGGGCGCGCCGGATTTGTGGTGCCGTGCTTCTGTGGGCTATTTAGTCTTGACAGTGCGAGAAACCAGTCGTACACTGGCACCAACGCCATGTCAGTGGAAAATGTTCTTAGTGTCGTTGGATGATGACAAAAATAGTTTGCCCTGAATTATGTCATTTTGAACATTTGAAATACAGTTTAGTGGTTTTTATTTATTTTGAGGGGAAACGTTATTGAACAAAGAGGTCTTTCAGACATTGCTGATTTCATTAAACAATCACTCAGTGTCAAGGATTTTGAAAAAGGACTTTCAGTAACTACATGACCTGCAAACTGTTGTAAATATGGGTCACGCCACATTGAATGTTAATTAGCAGCATCTGTCAACACTCTGTGTTATGCATATGAGGCTCAAATCCCCGTGTAAACCTGTGACTGGTGGTTCTCCGTCGATGTTTGGCCTACTTTCCGTACAGTTGATTTTTATCGGTTTTCAAATGTTTCGTTTTGACATTTAATAATTGTATTTTTTTTTTTC